GCATAGTCAATAAAACTCAGGTAGATTTCTGCCAAGATCCAACGTTCGCAATAATGTCTCTAGTGACACAGCCTTTACTAAATCCTCCTTGTATTTTTCTATCAATTTACTGTTCCAGTCATTTCTGGATAATATTCAGCAGGATTTTGATTGGGTGTGGTATGAATGGTATTGTACGATAGTTTCCACAATCTGTCGTGTCACAGGGTTTGTTTGTTTTGGTTTTGGTTTTTGGTTTTTTTGTGGCTTTCATTGTTCTTTTTGTTACTGTTGTGGGTTTTTTGTTGTTATTTTATTAAGAATGGAAATAAATATAGAGACTGTAGATTGAAAATTAGAAGCTTGCTTATCTTTCTCCCAAGAGCAGTTGGTAGATTCAAACTGGTGGACAAGCCTTTGTCTGGCAGCTCAGCTCTTTACCAGGAGTCCACCAGAGTAATCTAATAGCTGTGCAGATAGAATCCAGCTATATAGCAAAGATTCAATAGTGTTTATGTAAGCCTGTCTCAATCTTTTAATATTCAAAAATAAATATAAATAGCATTGTATCTCGTGGTTATATTAATTTGTGAAGAAAAGAGGAAAGGGGAGAAAAAGAGCGGAATCTAGAGACTGACAACTTGAAACAAGCAAGTTCCATTCTATAGGTAGCAAAGGAATTGAATGGATGATACAGGAAGATAAGCTAGATTATCAGAATAAAAGTTGTTCTGCAGACTAAACCTTCCTAAAATATTTTATAATGAAGTATAAAATTAAATCTGAAAGTTGTTGTTGTGTTGTTATATGCCATTGAGTCGCTTGCGACTAATAGCGACCCTATGTACAAGTGTCCTAAATGCCGTTCTATCCTGTGCCAGCCGCGCCATTTCAAACACACTCATTTCCACCTCTCCGATCACAGAATCAATCCATCTCATTGATGGTCTTCTTCTACTGCGCCATCCCTCCACTCTCCCAAACATGAAGTCCCTCTCCAAGGACCAGTCCCTTCTTTCAACATGCCCAAAGTATGTCAGACGAAGCTTCAGAATCCTTGACTCCAAGGAGCATTATGGCTTCACCCTCTCCAGGGCCAACTTGTTTGTTCTCCTAGCAATGCACGGTATATTCAACACTCTTCTCCAGCACCACAGTTCAAAGGCATCAATTTTCTTTCTATCTTCCTAGTCACTGTCCAACTCTCTGACGCATAGCATGTAATTGCAAAGACTATAGTCTGGATCAGACACATCTTAGTTTCCAGCCTGATGTCATTGCTCTTCAGTACTTTTGAGGGGTCCCTCACAGCTGACTTTCCCAATGCAATTCATCTCCTGACTTCCTTACTACTGTTACCAGGAGTATTAACTGTGGAATCAAGTAAACTAAAACTGTTACTGTCTCAATCTCTTCACCATCCATTACTGATGCTGCCAATTGGCCCAGTGGTGAGAATCTTTGCTTTCTTAATGATGAACTTCAATCCATATTAAAGACTGCAGTCCTTGACCTTCTGCAGTAAGTGCTTCAGGTCTTCCTCAGTTTCAGCAGGCCGGATTGTCATCTGCATAATGCAGGTTGTTGATGATTCTTCCACCAATCATGATGCCACACTTCTCCTCATACAGCCCAGTGTCTCAGATGATCTGTTCTGCATACAGATTGAAAGGTATGGAGACAAAATACATCCCTGATGTAGGTTTATAAAGAAATAAAATAAAGCAAAATATACTTTTTTATAGAACTTTAATCAAATTTGCATAGATAAATTATTTTAAATTATGCTAAAACAAAATAATTTGCTTATTTTATTGAATTAAATTTTGGAAACTATATATCTTCAGTGTCATACTGATAATAGTATTTTAAATATAATTAATATGTTCTATGATTAACTTCTATTCTGAATATGTTCCATTATAAGCTAATATTGTCAGTATCAGTTAAAAAAATTAGGTTAATAGATTGTTGTTACTAATTGCCATTGAGCCAAGCATGATTCACAGTGACCCCATTAACAAAGGACCCGAAGCCTTTCTATAACTATCATTTCTCAAAGTTCACAGAGTTTCAAGAGGCATGTTGTTTAGGAAGTAGATGCCACTCTAGCTTCCAAAGTATAATAGATTGGTGAATCAAATATTTGCTAAACGAATGATCTATAGGGGATCTCTGGTGACCTAGTGGTAAGAAGCTTTGCTGCAATTTCAAGGTACATAGTTTGAATCTCCATACTATTCAGTGAGAGAAGAATGGGCAATCTTTTCCTGTGTGATTTATTGCCTCTAAAAGTCCATTGGAGGGGAGTCGATTCTAAACTATACAAAGCACCAACATTACATGATCTACAAAAAAAAAATATATATTCTTAATCACCTAAAAGCCTTATAACATTGTTAAATCTAATTACAAAGGATATGACTAATTTCTAGATTGCAAAATCTGATTATATTTTCCTTCTTCTCAGTTCCAAAGAAAGATGAGGTAGAAAAGATCAAGATGAGTGTCAAAAGAGTCCTTGAATATTACACTAAAGTGCTGAGAAACTAAAGCAAAGGAAAGAAAGTGGGACGTTAAGGAGTGGAACAGAGGATCTCAAAGGACAACTTATGAAGACAAAGCAAAGTATTACATTGGAATATACAAAGAGCTGGAGCCAGAAAATCAAAAAGGATGAACTCACTTGGCATTTTTTTAAGCTTTAGGAACTGAAGAACAAATTCAAGCCACTAGATGTGCTCACCAAGTTGTGTCAAGAAATCTGGAGGACAACCACTTGGCCAACTGACTGGAAAAGATCTATATTTTTTCCCATTCCAAAGAAGGGTGACCCAGCAGAGTGTGGAAATTATTGAACGATATCATTGATAACACATGCAAGCATGATTCTGCTGATCATCCAAAACCTACTGGAACAGCACATCAACAGAGAACTTCCAGAAGTGCAGACTGGGTTTAAAAGGTACTAGGATACTATGGTACTAGGGATATTGTAGCTTATGTTAGCTGGATCTTGGCTGAAGGCAGGGAGTATCTGATGAATTTCTAACTATCTTTCATTGATTATGCAAAGGGGTTTGATTGTGTTGATCATAACAAACTGTGGCTGACTCTAAGAAGAATGGGAATTACAGAATAATTGATTGTGCTTATGTGAAACCTGTACTTGGACCAAGAGGCAGTCGTCAGAACAGAGCAAGGAAACACTGCATGGTTCAAAATTGGGAAGGGTGTATGCCAGGGATGTGTCCTATCTCCATACCTTTTAAACCTATATGCAGAACAGATTTTCCTGGAGGCGAGGCAGTATGAAGAGAAGTGTGGCATCAGGATTGCTGGAAGATCTATCAACAATCTGCGTTATGCAGATGACACAACCCTGCTTGCTGAACCTGAAGAAAACCTGAAGTGCTTTCTGCAGAAGGTCAAGGACGGCAGCCATCAATATGGATCGAGGCTCAATATTGAGAAGACAAAGATTCTCATCACTGGGCCAATTGGCAGAATCAGGATGAATGGTGAAGAAATTGAGATTGTTCACAGCTTTAGTTTCCTTGGCTCCACAGTCACCACTCTTGGCACCAGTAGCCAGGAAGTTAAAAGACATATTGCAATGGGAAAGTGTGCTGTTAGAGACCTCTCCAAAGTACTGAAGAGCAATGGTGTCACTCTGGAGACTAAGGTGAGCCTGATGCAAGTCATGGTCTTTGCAATCACTTACTATGTGTCAGAGAACTAGACAGTGACTGGGGAGGACAGAAGGAAAATTGAGGTCTTTTGAACTGTTGTGTTGGAGAAGAGTATTGAATATACCATGGATCGCTAAGAAAATGAACAGGTTCAACCTGGAGAGGGTTAAACCAGGCTGCTCCTTGAAGGCAAAGATTCTGAAGCTTCGTCTGACATGTTGTAAGGAGGGACCAGTCCTTGGAGAAGGATGTCATGCTTGGGAGGGTGGAGGGACAGTGTAGGACAGGAAGGCCCTCTATGAGGTGGATTGATTCCATGACTGGAGAATGGGGGTAAGTGTGTCAGAGACAGTGAGATTGGCACAGGATAGAGCAGAGTTGCAGGTGACTCAATGGCACACAACACTAACAGTTGCAGTACTTAAGAGTGTTATGGGCAAAATATTGAATGATCCAGAAAGAATCAAAAGAAAGTAGAAATACACAGAGTCAGTGTACCAAGAAGAATTGGCTGACACAGAAGAATTTCATGAAACGCTGTTCTGAAGATTTTGACAAAAAACAAGAGCTGTGGGATTGATGGAACACCACAAGACATATTTCAGCAAACAGATGCCAGACGTACTCACAAGGTTGTACCTAGAAATCAAGAGGACAAAAACCTTGTGAACTGACTAGTAGAGATACATATTATTCCCATTCCAAAATAAGGTAATCCAACAGAGTGTGGAAATTATCAGACAATATCACTAATATTTCACACAAGCAATATCTTATTGAAAACCATCCAATACATTTGGGAAAGTACATGAACAGAGATTTGCCAGAAAGAAGTGCAATCTGGGTTTAGAAGAGGCCATGGCACTCAGGACTTTATTGTCAATGTCAACTTGATTTTGGCTAAAACCAGATAATACCAGAAGAATGTCTACATGTATCTCATTGACTATGCAAAGGAATTTGACTGTATGGATTACAATAAACTGTGAGTAACCTTGAGAAGAATGGGAATAACACAACACCTGATACTACTCACGAAAATACCAAGAAGCAGACCTTAGAACAAAGCAAGGAAACACTGTATTTTTAAATTCAGGAAAGGAGTGTGTGAGGAAAGTTTTTTTTTTTTTAAAGGTTTTATCTTTAATGAAAAAGTCTAGAATATTATTTACACGTGGGTAAGAAAAGACCGCTGGACCCCCAGCTTCTGTTGGGATGGGCCACAGGGGCTCCGGTTAAATCAGAGCTGCCTGTGGATGGTTTCAAGGTGAGAATCGTAACAGGTGAGTAGTAGCTCCCACCTCATCTGCCGCCCAGCAGGCCGGGCCTTCAGATAAGATCCGCAATGTTCATGGGCATCTCGTCGATCTGGGTGGAGTAGTACTGCTTGATGTCTCGGAGGATGCGGATGTCGTCGTTCTTCACAAAGTTTATGGCCACACCTTTCCGGCCATATCGCCCAGAATGCCCAATTCTGTGTATGTACAACTCTCTGGTGTTGGAGAGGTCATAGTTGATAATGAGGGAGACTTGAGGGATGTCCAGTCCCTGGGCCCAGACGTCTGTGGAGATGAGCACACGGCTAGCGCCAGATCTGAACTCCTTCATAATGGACTCTAGCTCCTTCTGGGGCATGTCGCCGTGCATCGAGGAGACAGTGAAGTTGGCTTCTTGCATCTTCTCCGTCAGCCAGTCAACCTTCCTCTTGGTGTTGTAGAAGATGACCACCTGCGTGATGTTCACCATGTCATACAGGTCACACAGGGTGTTGAACTTCCACTCTTCCCGTTCCACAGCCACGAAGAACTGCTTGATGCCTTCCAGGGTCAGCTCATCACGTTTCACCAAGATGCGGATGGGGTCGGTCATGAACTTGTTGGTCATCTCCAGGATCTCGTGGGGCAGCGTGGCACTGATGAGCACCACCTGTGTGGC